ATGAGAGCTCACGCTGCTGCACCCGACCACACAGCACAAAGTCTGGGGAAACCCGGGTTTATTCAGCCCCTCACTCCTGCACGGGGTGCTGCTGGGCTGGGACCACGTGCTGGGTGTCCCAGATGAAGGGGAGTGAGGTCAGCTTAGACCGTCTTTATAGTAGATCTTAATTAGACTGCCTGGGGACCACACACCTTCCTTGCCATTGCTGCTCTGATGAGCTAGGCTCGCTGGCCACTACCTGAGGAGTTTTTCCAGCTGAGCTGCCTCTGCTCTGGCCGCCCTGGAAGCAGGGTCCACAGCGCCCAGTGCTCACCAGCTCACCCTGCAACACCAGCCCTGCTCGCACAACCCACAGAAAGCACTTGAGGAAGGGGGCCATTTTGCTCTGAGGCTACCGTGTGATTTCTGCTCTATATTCCCTTCAAAAACTTACATCTCCATAATGCTCCCCTACCAGCAGGCTGACACCACCTCCTCAGGAACCTGCGGTGCTTCTTGCAGATCCAGTGAAGGACCAAGCACCCACCGCTGGGAAATCATAGAATGGTCAGAGTTGGAAGGGACCTTAAAGATCATCTAGTTCCAACCCCCCTGCCATGGGCAGGGACACCTCCCACCAGACCAGGTTGCTCAAAGCCCCATCCAACCTGGTCTTGAACACCTACAGGGATGGGGCACCCACAGCTTCTCTGGGCAACCTGTTCCAGCACTTCACCACCCTCACAGGAAAGAATTTCTTCCCAATATCTAATCTAAACCTCCCCTCTTCCAATTTAAAACCATTACCACTTGTCTTGTCACTACAAATGTTTCTACTCTGGTGCTCTCTGGGTACCAACCTGGGTTGTCCTGCCTTTGGAAACCATAAGTCCTTCCTAGTGGGGCCTGACTGGTCATTTTTTATCACTACAGTGCACAGTACACTTATAGCACCACTGTTTGATTAACATTTATATCATTTGCTGATGATCCTCATTTGTTTGTCTTGTGCTGCAGCTTTGGGCAATTGCAGATACCCTCAGCACACGGATGACTATAAGGTCACCTGAGAATTTATCTTGATTTAGTGCCAGTGCTCTTAGTCGTAACAAAAAGCCTCACCCAAAAGAGTTTAAGAAGCAGTTGAGCAGCACAGCTGATCTATCTTTTCCCGTGGATTTAGAGCTGGATTCTCTGGTGTCCAGAATTTGTGCAGGTGGGATGCGGTGTCTCTTCCATGCGGGTTCTGTAGTGTCTGAGAGCAAAACCCGCAGTGCAGCTTGCAGGGCCCGGGGAGGATGCTCGCTGCGCGGATGGCTGCCTCTGCTGATTAACTGCTCCCTCAGATTTTGACTGAAATCAGCCAACGGGCCCAAAATTGCTGGTGGGACAGACTGAATGGTTGCATAAGCCTCCTTTCCATGGGAAAATGCTGCAGAAGAATATATGGTCAGACCAACCGTGTGCATGTCACTAACTGTGCTCTGAGTAAGCCAATTTACCTCAACCAGCCTGATCCTGTCAACAAAATGTAACTCCTAAAACAGGAGACGTGCCAGTAAAGCCTAAGTAGCTCTGATAACATTGTGTATGGAACAGAAAGGTTAAGATAAAGCCGATGGAAAGAATTTAAAGCTGTGTGAGATGCGAGGCTGAAGCAGAGCTCTGGAGTAGCCGGGAGCCCTGTGCTCAGCTGAGCCCTTCCATTTCTGCAGCAGAAGTACATAAAGGCGAGAGGAGAGACTGCTGGGGACCGATCACAGGGTGCTACGCTCCTCCTGAAGAGAAAGCCCTTAAAAATGCAGTCATCATCTTAATTGCTGCCTCTGTCTGTTGGCAACAGAAAAGAAATCAAAGCTGCTTCTGAGTTAGTGAGCTTGCACAGGCTGGACCATCGTACTGCAGAGGCAAAGCCAGCGGATGTTGTGCTAGAAATAAATTGGACTCTATAGCTTGAATAGATGCCAAGGAGCAAGTTTGATCTCCAAAACAGCAGCTAGCAGACCATGAAGAGAAGCTGGCAGGAAAACACAGCGATCAGCTGTCAAGAGCTGTGAAACGTCCTGCGGATGAGGAGCTCAGGGCCAGGTACCTCATTTTTGTACCATGTGCGAGCTGCAAATGAACAACTGCATCTCTTTTAAATTCACTTGTGGGCCTTCTGGAAAGAATCAAACACAGGCAACAACATCCAAACCAGCAGAGGTGGGCTGGATTGCTCCCGGTGTTTCTATATCATACATAAGACTTCATTAAATAGAGAGCAGAACCAGAGAGGAGGCCAATTCCAGCTGTTGTCTGAGCATTTGCCATGTACCTAATGCTGACGGAGCTGTTTACGTCAGTGCTAGGGAGCAGTGCAGCCCATAGTATCGCACAGGATTAGCTCTTAGGATGCCTTGCAAGCAAATCAAAGTACAGAAATTCAAAGAACAGTGCCTTCCTTAGGTGTTAAGGAATAATGTTATTCACAGCTGGAACTATCTGCCCAGATATACTACTATAGTACTTCTGTGTTTATTCAGAGCAGGGCTGGCTAAGGCTCGGCTGTGACGTGTGCCCTTCAATTGCTGTGAGCCCCATTCAAAGCCTGAAGGGCAGCAGCTACCCCAAAGTGGTCAGGGCTTAACTTCTCTAGAGACTTTCATAGCAGGTTGGAACATGTTCACTAACACCAGGCTTCTCCAGCCTGGACTCAGCCTTTTCTTGGAAGAATGGATATTGGATACTTTTTGAGGATTACCAATATTGTGCCGGGTATCATCGCCGTGGTCCTTCTGTCGCAGCGCAATGGAACAGCTGTTTCCCCTGTGGCATCTGAGGAATGGGATCTTGAGGCCTTTCCTAGAGACCACCTGACACTTCTGGTCAGAAGGGCCATTACTAGACTGTGGCAGGGCAAGCTACCTCAATGCTACAGCTGTCTGCAATGCTGTCTCCCTCATCACAAGGAGCTTAAGAGCTGCAGGCACTCAGGAGCAACCAAGCTTCCTACTGTGTGATCAAGTTGGTTCATTTCTGCTCCAGTAAATCCCATCTCAAAGTCTTCAGGATTCACTAAGGCTAGATGAGACACAACATGCAAGTATGCTTACTGGTTTAATATCCTCTCACCATCATGCTTTGTCCTAACTGCTAAAACCAAATATTTTGCACCAAAAAAGTTGTTGGCTGAAGTGATCACAGGTTTCCACAGCCACAATGGTTTTGCCCAGGGCAGGATGCGGATGTGTCAGGATCTCTGTGTATTGTGCAGCACACCCAGACTGCAGGCACATTGAATCATAGAATCAGAGAATGGCTTGGGCTGAAAGGAACCTTAAAGATCATCTAGTTCCAATCCCCCTGCCATGGGCAGGGACACCTAATGCCACCGCTGAGATTTAAGAGTGTAGACGTCCCACCATGAGAGAGCCGAGGGCAGGGGATCCAGCATCTGAAGGTGTTGCACTCCACGGGATCAGAAAAAACCAGAGGTGAATAGTGAGCCTGCCAGCTGTGCCCTTCACCCATTCTACAGCGTTGTCATATAATTCTCCCCGAGAGCCCTGAACAAATTCACAGCGGCTTGACCAAAGCCTTTTCTCTTGCCTGGGCTGTGCTAAGCGTGAGGGTGGCTCCTTCCACCTCCTCCTCCTTCCCAGGACAAACATTTCCTCTTTCTTTGCAGGCGGGTGTGGTAAGAAGCCACCTCCAGTGCTGAGCCAGCAAAGCCATATGTCCTTCCCCTTATCAGCACTGTTTGCCCAAGCACCTCGCCCTCCGCAGCGCCTCTGAGCAAGGAGAGAGGCAGGCTCTCCAGCTGCACAGAGCACAAAGGTCGTTTCCTGACCCAGGCCAAGGTCTAATTAGTGGAGTTAAGAGCTTCAGTGCCTGGGAGGAGAATTAGTCAGCGAGGCTCTGTGAGGGGTTGGAGCTATGAGGAAGAAGGTATTGGAGCTTCAGAGTAGCTACATCAGCCTGAGCCTTTCCATCAGCCTGTTTTGCTTACACAGCTTGGAAGGCTCCACAGGCTGGAGGCTTCCAAGCCAAAGGTGGTGTCAGGATACGCATAGTGGGTAGTGAACATCAGGCTTTGCCTTTTTCTATGTGGAAACTTTGCCCAGCGTATGGGAAGGGGCATCCAGAGAAAGATTTGGGAAAGATCCGTGGTATTTCTGGGCACCCAGTAAAGCAGTCAGGACAGTGGCCCCAACAGGACTGCTGGACACCAGTGAGGTCCTGTTTACTCTGGGGAGCAGGTTGACTGCAGTGTGTGAATGTCCACTCAAGTCCTGCATGTCCACAGCTCAGTGTTGGGAAGCCAAGGGAGAAATATAGGTGTCCTCTTTATACAAACTAACGGAAACCATGGGAACAGACTGGGACCTGACTGTACAAAACCGCACAAAATAATTGTAGATGGGAAGCCATCCTCAGAGCCAGCCTTTTTACTAGTGTTGGTCCCACGAGGACTATTTCTTAGAAAAGCACTATTCAGTATCAGAGAGAAAGGTAAAAAAAAGGATCTGATCTTGATTTTAAATAGCTGAGGAAAAAATTTCTCTCACCAAAGAGCTCTTTACAGTATCAGAGAAAAATATAGAAGCAACAAGGCTGGGAGATCATTTCCAGTCTAAATTTATCTTGCTTAAAGGTGCATGTTTTTAAATAGGGAACAGCTGAAGTGTGAAAGGGCTCAGGCTGTGCTGGCAGCCTTCCCTTTGAGATTTGCACCGCTGGAGTTATTTGTTACTGTGGGTGCTGGGACACAAGGGACAGTGCCAGGGAAAGCTGGGACAGCTGGTTTGAGAAGGGTACACTGGAGATGTGGGAGAAGGAAGGCTCAGGTGCAGGGCAGTAAGGGGATGTCTTGGTTTGGGGATGGGGAGAGAGTGCAGCAGGCAGGGCTTGAAGCTCCATACCTGTCTAAGCACGGGCAGGAACAGGCCCTTGTTTTCTATCCTGGTCTTTTTGCCCATGGAAGCGTTGGAAAAGACACTTTCCCATTGGGACAGGCAAGTCTCCAGAACCAGGCATTTCCACTTCAATTCATTATAATTTTTTAGCCAAGTTGCAACAGCACAATTTTTCAAATTAGCTTTACAGACCAGCAGTCAGATTAAAATGTTTGTGGGTTTTTTTTTTCCCAATCAGGTAGTTCAAATGAGAGTTTTAAATTTTTCTAGCCTAGTAAATACTAATGTGCAAAGTCTGTACCTAATGTTACGCCATAACCAGCTCTTGTTTCTTTTCAGCTCTGGGACTCTGCTTTAGGTGTTATTCTGTCTTGCCTGATTAGAGATGTGCACTGAGTGTTTTCACAGCAGCATAATTCATCCTCCTTGGTTTTCTCCTGCAGTTTTCAAGCAAAAGCCAGGCTAAAGGACAGAGTGAATATAGAGCCCTCTGCCTATGCTGCTCAGACACCAGCCATGTAGCAGGAAAAGGGATTTCCGTTCCTCCATCCGTGGCAGTCTCTCTTAAGGGTAAACTTATGAGCATCTGCTGAGACACGACTGTGGGCTTCATATACCCACGGTAACTTCAGCTGCAGTAATTCTGACAATCAGCACGTACGTTCCACCTCACTGCACCCCAAGTAGTGTCTTTTGCCTTTACTTAGCTGCAGTCTTTTGGCATTGCTGGCTGCTTCCAGAAATGTGTGTTCTGTTCTGCTCCTGCATCCCGTAGCACATCGCTCTGCTGCCGCACTCTGGGATCTTTTGCAGAAAGCAAAGGGATCCAGTGGCCTCGTGCAAACCAAATCATTCCCCTGATTTCTCTTGCCAGGACCTATTTATCCACCAGTGTTTGTGAGCCAGACCTCACTATGTTCAAAGCGCTGTCAGCAGCTGGCAGGAAACGCTGGCGATCAGAGCAATCCTCACAGCTCAGTTTGCAGCAGGCTCTTTGGATTTCTGCCTTTAAGTCATACAGGGACTTCAAAGTGAGTGTAACAGGGCACCTGAGAAGGAAGAAGCTGAAATCCAGCCGATATTTCTCATGGATCTCTTCCTGAAGCAGCAGACTGCTGGGGCTGAGCCAGCACTGCAGATCTGGGGAAACCAGCGGTGTGTGTGTGGCACTTTGGATGTCCAGGGCTGCTCTCCTTCCATGGGGAACGTCCTGCAGCTGCAGAGCCCTTTCCTGTGAGCCCTCCCTGCATCATCGTCCTGGGATGTGTCATTCTGGGATGCACCCTTGGCCTCTGCTCCCTTGCCCAGCAAGATTTCACATGCTATTTGGACAGCAGGAAGAGCTTCCTTAGCAGCTCCAGGACAGCAGTGGAATCTGGAGGTGGATGACCGGAAGACAGAGAGAGAGTTTGTCTGGGGATGAGAAGTAACTGCCCCTTCTGCAAGGTACAATAAGCAGCTACTAAAATATTTGCTAGTAGGAGGGTGGAAGTGTGCAGGTGGGCTTGAAGAAGGAAGCAAGCAGAGCTGGTGGATGCTTTGAGCCACCTCAACATAAGGTCATCTCTGGGACGTGCAGCCGCACAGAAGGAGGGATGTGTTGCCCTCCTTGAGACTAGAGGCAAGTCATCAACAGTGCTGGCATGTTCGTGAGAGGTTTTAATCACAATTGCTGCACGTTTTAATGTGCAAAACATAGCACAAGGATTTTTTTCCATGGTGGAGAGGAGGGACATCTGGATTATTCTAAATTAATTAAAAGTGTACAGATATATTGGTTTTCATGACAAGATAGGGACTTGAACATATACGAGACTCAAAAGCATGAATGGAGGGCACATGCAAAAAAAGGAATGAACACATCGGATTAATTGGTGTGCATTTAAAAATAGTAACTGCACATAATGCTGTGCAAAGCTAAAATCTATTTTAAACTGTTTATACAGAACGGAAGCGTATGTTCTCAAGGTCTCCAGTTTGTCTATGTGGGTTGGTCAAAAAAGTTGTGACATGCTGAGAAAGGCATTTGCGCCTTGTTGTTTTTAGCAAAAGTCACATCCAACAACATGGATTTAAAAGAAAAGAGACTGAAAAATACTTAAGAGATCACAAGGCAATCTTTGCCCGTGATCTCCAGGAGGTGCACATGCCTTGCCAACCTTTGAGGGACTGTATCTCCAAGCTTCTGACCGTCTTCCTCTCTGTCATTCTTCATTCTTTACTCAAGCGCTCTCTTTTTCTGTCTCTCAGAGGATGTGGGCAGCTCCATGTCACATCCTCCCTTGAATATTGTTTTGCCCTTCCAATGGAGAGGAGTGGTCACTGAAGTAGCTCTGTCCATGCTTGCCACAAAGGGTCAGGAGCTATGGGAGAGGAAAAAAAAGCAGGGAGAAAGGACAATTAGTTGTAGTCTCTGTGCCAGCAAAAGCAAACCAACACCGCACAACCTACCATCAGCTTTGGGACACCCTTCCCTGGTTTTGCCCTAATTTAAGGTTTGGTGACAAAAGTATTTCCATAGGCTGCCTCCTTGCATGGGATCCCAGGCCCATGATAGGGGTGAGGTGGAAGCGAGGGTTTCATCAACTTTTGGAAAAGGTTAACAAACGTGTGGGCACATAGCAGGCCCTCACAGCTTTCTGGGGGTGTGGAAGATGGGGGAATTGTCCTGCTGGGAATGATAATGTCACTCTTGTTTATGTGCCTCTGAAATCTGCTGATGGGAGCAGCAGTATGGTGAGCAGCACAGGGAGGCTGGCAATATGGTGGACATCACGTGAGGTTGTCCTTGTTCTGGAGGATGTCACCTATCAGGTGTCCCTGAAACAAGAAGACTTGTTCAGAAAGGCAGCAGGCAAACTAGGGAAAGATGCTGCATTGCTGCTAATGGGGCTGGTCCTTCAAAGCTAATGCGGAAGGGTATTGCAAGCTTGAGGAGCCCTGCCAAGAGAGCTGCATTGCTGTGCCGGCTTCCTTCCAAAACACAGCACAGTCTTTGGCTTTCCTTCTCATTTTGTTACCTCCTTTTTTTTTTTCTCCTTCTTTTTCCATTTTTAAACCTTGCAGATCAGCATCCTGTGCACTACAAAACACCTAGTTCTACAGTAAGATGCAGAAAGAGGCACACCATCACTTGCTTTTAAGTATTTCTTTCTGCAGTACATACGTATTGTGATATGGTATCATCTCATATCAATGCAAAGCTACGAATCTATTTAATCTGTGAACCAAATACGCGATTTAAGATCTCACACTTTTTTATATTTGCCACTACAGCAATACTGGGCAAGCCCGTGAGGTGCCCACACCCCCACTGCAGAAAAGCAGAACACAGCAGTCAGGGTCAACAGAGGGACAGGAGATAATGTTGTGTCAGGGAGGCGTGAACTGGATGTATGGGAGCTGGAGCACTGGTTGTGAAAAAATGCATTTACAGGGAAAAGAATGGTTTGCTAACGCATGGGAAAGGGAGGGGGTAAATGTCCGTAAAGCAGAGAAAGGGTAAATGAGCAAAAGGCTACCCTGCCAGGCCCCTGAGCTAGGTTAAGCACTGTTGCATGATCTTTTATCTCAAACAATACTAACTGTAGAGGATTCCAGCCTGTCTGGGGTTCTGCCTGTGACCATGTATGTCATCCCCTCCCTGAAATTCAGCGATACTGACTCTGATTTACCATCGCATCGGCTTTGAATATCCTTCCAAAGGATATTGGCTTCTAATTCTGTCTTACGACCTTCAGCTGCAAAGCCAATCTCTGCTGTTCTGCCTTCTTGTCAACGTTGGTCTGCATCCACAAAATCTAGTGTGAAGACCTCTCTCACTTGCAGGGCCCAGGGCATGTCCCCTTCCCTTTGCTTGCCCCTTCAGACGTGCTGAGGGGTCACGGTGGGGCAACCAAATAACATCACTGGATAGCCAGGCACACAATGCCGGCAGGCGTAGTCCCTGCAGGCGAATGGCAAGGGGCAGCACTCGGCCACAAGCCAGCGTTTGGCCGGTGAGATGGTGTTTGATGGATGCGACGCTGGATCAATAGCGAGCACAGAAGTGAACAAGCAGGAAGAGGACACGGGCAGGGAACAGTGGTGGGAGGACCTGGCAGGAGGTCAGGGGCTGACTCAGGAGGGAGATGAAGCCCCACCTATGCTGCTGTGAGCAAACCTGACCTGAGCCTCGGAACAACTGCTTTCAACATGGGTTTAATAACACATGTCAAAGCGTCAGCTGGTTCCTAGCAGGGAGCTGCGGTGGGGACGCCAGTCACACCGCGGGGAGAGAGCTCAAACTGACTTGCAACAAATTTCAAGTGTCAACAAGTTGCTGTGGAGCAGAACAGGTATTTTGATCTAATGACAGAAATTGCACCTCCGTGCAAAAAGCAGAAAATGATGGGGGGCTGGAATCCAAAGAGATGGGAAATAAGCATGAGAACAACAAACAATGAAGACTGTTTCAAAAAAACACAAAAAACTAATGAATAATCCTGCCTCACAGCATCACCCCGTCCTGTTTCCTTTGCTGCTTTCCCCAAGTAGACCAGCATTTTGCTTTTTCTGATCATGTTGTTCACTGCATTCATGCTTGGTCTTAAACTGGTCTTAAACACGTCTTAAACTGGAGACGTGTTCCTCATCGACTGTCTCATTGTGAAAAGATAATGAAAAAAAACCAACCCTGGACTACTCTTAGGGGCTCCATAAGAGCTAAAATGCCTTATCTGTGCCCATACGGAGCTGTGTGTTTCTATGTCTATGGTGTCGCTACAGATTTCAGTGAATCGTAACTACTGAAACATTTTTGTAAGGCTTGGCTGGGGGATAATGACAAACTCCTTGCACTTGGTCTACCCTGAACTATTGAGAGGTATTCTTGATTTTCACTCTATTTTAATGCAGAATACTTGATAGTATCTGTGGGGTTTATGAGATGTTTTTTAATTAGAAAGCAACAATTAAACAAGAAGCACACAGAATAATGTCACAGCATATTTCCAGCAATTTAAAGATACATTTCAGTCTAAAGCTTGCTTTTATGTTTCATTTTAACTTCTATTTATACTTTCATTCATACACTCTGGCTTGCTTCACCTCCTCTGGGAGCAACACAAAGCAGAGGAAGTCCGTGAGTCTGATAAACTGCAATTACGATGGGTTCATTTTGTCAGAGCTATGCAAAGCATCCAGCACACAGAGCAGCCTCCCCTCTCCACCACTCACCATATCCACCCATCTCTCTGCAAACGTGCATGGAAATAAACATCCCCTTTGGTGGGAGAAGTAAGTTTCATGCAGTGAATGAATTTTGAAAAATGATTTCAGAGCGAATGGGAAATTTTCCTCATTCTCTTCATAGTAGAAATCTCAACTATGGGGACTCGTATTCTTCTTCCACACTGGGTTTTTGTTTCCTAACAGTCTCTTTGGTAGCACCTAAACTGCAGAGCTGTGATCTGGCCAACACAGGGACCCATGCTGTGACCAGGATCTACAGCACAAAGGGACAAAAGTCAGCACAGACAGAGGGAAGGCCGCGGTCCCCTCTCTGGCCAGGGGATCTGCTATTCTACCAAAAGCAGAAGGTTCAGAGACCTGCCAGAGCAAAATGTGCATTCAAGAAATCTGCTGTATTTGAAGTTCTTGTCCAGCCAGGTGCAAAAGCCATCTCCAGTTCCACACCCGAGGCCTAAAACAGTATCAGCCAGGAAAAGAGACTACTTTTTCACTTGGTGATCTTCTCTCTGATCAAAGCGAAACCTCATTCTGAAAGCCACCTGCTTCCAAGCACAGAACCCAAAATGCCCACCTCCCCCCACTGCCCCGCAAGCACACGCACGTGCACTTTCAGTGTTTTTTATAGTTGCCTATTTCCATAAAGTGCAGAATGTACTGACAAGATCATTTGAATGTATTTTGCATTCCACTGCCCAGGTATAAGAGCTGTCAGTTTAATACAGAAGAGATCACTGAAAAGAGGAATGTTTGGTAAAAACGTATGATAACAAATGAAGTTCTATTCTATTTGACTGTCTTAAATGTTGTCACATCCAGACCTACTTCCAGTGACTTAAGTGTCAGCAATCTGCTACACAGTTTCCCTGTAACTGCTATCATGCTCTGGGCATGACTCATAATGATGGCCCAAAATGTTCATTGTACTGCTTTGGGGACTTTTTTGGTTGCTTTTCTTCTCTCTCAGATCAGAAGGGAACGCTACAGCCCCCTAACCTGAGCTCCTGCAAAATGCCCAGCCAACACCTAGTAATTCCTCCAGTAAGCTTATTACATTTGCTGTTTTGCCCCGGACACAGAACTGTTCAAGAGTCCAGGCTTATTTTAAAGCCACAGCAATTGTTCAAAGAGTGGTAGAATGTTATCTCTGAGCAGAGATGCTGCCTTTATTTCTCCTTTTCCTAACAGATGTATACTCTGAGAAGGCATAGCCGTTCAGCCTTCCTTTGGGATGTATGAAAGTGTCGATAGAAAATAAAGCGTTCCTTTAGCCTTCTTTACAGGACCCGCCTACACCTCTGTTCAGGCAAGCCAATACCTTTCAAACCACTCTGCGAACACAGCCTGTAATGCTGTGAACACAGCCTGTAAACGACTTCCTCTGCCGTCCTCACCTTAAAACGACACAGTAGATCAAGAGCACTTTCAACTTGAAGCAAATTCTGCTCATCTCAGGCCTTTTCCTTCTGCTTTCAATTCATCGAACCCTTCTAACCTCTGCACGGGCCTTCTCCGTAAGCTGCCATCTGAACAGAACTTCATCCTCTCCAGGATTCCTGCCCGGCCTCATCTCCAGCCCCTTCCCTACCGCCTCTCCAGAGCCATTTTTCCTTCCACTGAGGAGGAGCAGCAACTATTTTTAGGCTGCGTCGGTATGCTAAGCACAGAGGAATGTGGCTGCCAGCAGGGCTTGCCGGGAAGAGAGGAGTTGGTCTGAGGGAAGGCGCCTACCACAGGCCCACCGGCGCTGCCCGCGGCCAGCCGACGGAGCTCGTTAGGAATCTACCGGCGGCTCAGCGGGGGCCACGACCCCGGGGAACAGCGCGCCCAGAGCTCGGCTGCATCTCCGGCCGCAGCCGTGTCTTGTCCCTCATCCTTTACCGAGTACCGGGCCCCCGGCCGTGCCGGACGCTGCTCCCCCCGAGGCCTGGGGCGCGGCCCCGCCCCACAACCGGCGCGGCCTCCTCAGGGCCCAGGCGGCCTCCCCGCGCCTAGCTCTGCCCCCGAGGACGGCGCCTGCCAGCCCCAGCCGGGCTGTGGGGACCGGAGGCTGGCGACAGGCGAGGGCCGCGGCCCAACCCCCTCACGGGCCCTCACGGGGGTCAACCCACCCTCACGGGGGTCCCCTCACGGAGCGCGCGCGCGCCCGGGCCAGGCCCGCGCGACGGCGCCCCCCGCACTCCC